GTGTGTGTGTGTGTGTGTGTGTGTGTGTGTGTGTGTGTGTGTGTGTGTGTGTGTGTGTAGCTGTATAACTTCGGGGAGACGGTGTCGTTGGTGTTCTGGACGGAGACGTGGAAACCCGAGAGTTTCTACGACAAAATCTGTAAAAACAGGAAAGCTGGACAACATACACTCTGCCTGCTGGGTGAGATACACACACACACACACACACACACACACACACACACACACACACACACCAGGTGTCTGTTTATTCAGACCATCATTAATCTATCTGCCCACTCAGACACCCAGGGGACCCTAAACTAACCTGGGGGGTGGGGGGGTAACCAGCCTAATGTAATTGTGTGTGTGTGTGTGTGTGTGTGTGTGTGTGTGTGTGTGTGTGTGTGTGTGTGTGTGTGTGTGTGTGTGTGTGTGTGTGTGTGTGTCACAGCTGGTTCTTTATATTTATCCGGGGGAATAAAAGTCAATAAAACCAGAGATCCATCTCCGTCCACTATCCTCATTTGTTTGTTTAATAAAAAGTCATTGTTAGAATGTAACAACAGATCAATGTGATAGTATCATATTTGATAAACATGTCATTGTAACATCAGTCTAAAAAGTCAAGAGTCAAAAGTAGAGGATATAATAAAAATTCATATGATCATTTGTCAAAACTCAAAAGTCATGAAAGTCATAGTTTGAATTCTTAAAGATATATTTAAAACTGTGGATATACGGAATATTGATCTGAGCATGATGTTTGTGTTTCTGTCGGCAGACATTAAGGTCAAAGAGCAGAGCATCGAGAACATGATGAGGTGAGATCAAGATGGACTTATTAAGTGTTATCTCACTAGACATCGGGAACTTTGACCGTGTTAGATAACGCTTATTGTTTTCAGAGGGAAAAAGATCTTCGAGCCGCCGCGCTTCATGACGGTCGGTCAGGCTGCAGATCAGCTGATCCAGATCATCGAGAGGAGGAGGGAGGAGGGGGGGGAGCTGGGTGAGACACACAACACACACACACACACACACACACACACTGAACTGTTCACTCAAGATTAAGAGTTGCTCTTCGGGGAAATAAATCTTTACACCAATTCAAGAAACGTTTTATTAAAGAAAGTGTGAGAAAAAAAGTTGTATCTTCAGGAAGACATTTAGAGAAAGCTTGTTATATATTTGATTAAAAATAGAAAAATCATTCTCTCAAAAGAGGAGTTTTTTGGTGTTATAAGTAATAAAATCCACCGGTTAAAAAGTAATATTTAGAAACCTTTTCCCAAGTTTTATAAGATAGTAAAACTGGAAACATCATTCAAACTGTTAGCGTGCTAAAGCTATCAGATGTTTTATTTAACTCACTGATGTTACCATAAGATAAGATAGTTTCAGTAGCAGGACAGCACAGATTCACACAATTAAAGATGAAATCAAATGATATGCAGTTAAGTAACTTTAAAATAAGAAATGAATGAAAATGCCTGTTTCCGCTCCAGGTGTGACGGAGGACACGGTGTGTGTCGGTGTCGCTCGGCTCGGTGCAGACGATCAGCTGATCCGCACCGGGACGTTACGCCAGCTGGTGTCATGTGACCTGGGCGAGCCGCTCCATTCGCTGGTCGTCACCGGACATCTGCACCCGCTGGAGGTGGACATGCTGCGAGTCAACGCTGAACCTGACGCTCTGAAGGACCTGAAGTCCATCGACAGCTCCACCTTCTGCTCATAACACACACTCTGACTCTGGGTACATGTGAGGACCAACACAAACCATCACAACTACAGTAAAAGAGAAATAACCCACTACTTTTTGGATGATTTATTTATCTTTAGGGTTGTTTTTCATGGAGAAATGTCTTTAAAAGCAGCCTGTACTTCCTTTAAAGATGCTGCTTCTCTTTGTTATATATCCAACAAAGAAGCACCTTACTCATTTTATATCAAGTTTAATTGAATAATTGTAGTCCTACAAATGTCTAATTTTAAACCTGAACCATCAGAATCAAAATACCTGTGTAGTCCCACTGTCCCTACAATGTTGAAAGGTCCTCTTATGATGGTTATGGTAATACTTGGTCCTCACAAAGACAGTTAAACAAGCCACAACTTTTATGATTTATTTATCGATAATTATGCGTTAGGGTTGTTTTTCATGGAGAAAGGTCTTTAAAGGCAGCTTGTACTTCCTTCAAATATCGAGATGTGCTGCTTTTCTTTGTTGAATATCAAAGAAAGAGGATACTCATTTTGAATAATTGTAATTAAACGCTGAAACTGATGCTCTGAAGGACCTGAAATCCATCGAGTTCCACTTTCTGCTCATAACACACTGACAACAAACCATCAAAACTACAGTAAAAGAGAAATAATCCACAACTTTTATGATTTATTTATCGTTAATTATGGATTTGGGTGTTTTTTTCATGGAGAAATGTCTTTAAAAGCAGCTTGTACTTCGTTTTAAATATTGAGATTTGCTGCTTTTCTTTGTTAAATATCAAAGAGGATATCTTTTGTTTTGGTTTGACAAAAAAAGCACGGTACTCATTTTTATATAAAGTTTATTCGAATAATTACAGTTCTAATAATAAACCTGAACCATCAAACTGTGTCTACAATGTTGCACATAAGGTCCTCTTATGATGGTTATGGTAATACTTGGTCCTCACAAGCCTAAACACACAACAGGCTGCAGGATGTCGTTCCTCATCAGAAATAATTAGACCAACATTAAAAGCTATTTTTGGATCGGTAAAACTTCTGGTCCTGTTAAACCCAGATAAAAGCCAGGTCCCCAGTTTGTGCTATAAACAGAAACGTGTGTACATTGTGATGTCATCAATAATGAGAAATAATAAAAAAAATCAGAGAAACAGAATTATTTATTTATTACAGTTGAAAAAAGAAGAAGACTGAAACCCCCCGTCTGGTCACATGATTTGGCACGTTTTAAAAACAGTGACATCACACGCCGGTGAGGTCATAGGGAGGGGGGGCTCAAATTGTCTCTGATTCATGATGAAGGCACTTACCCAGAATGCTTTGCTCCAGTCTACAAAATGCAGCGAGGGTGGGGGGGGTTCAGGTAAGTAAAAAAAAAAGAAGAAAGAAATTAGGGGAGAGGCTATTTTTGGCTGGAGCATCTTGGTAGTTCAGTCTCACTGCCCCCCCCCCCCCC